ACTTCATTTAAACACTTGCATTGTGTGCGCCCAAGTACATTTATTTGATGTCATCGTTTCTCTTTCCTTTTAGTGCTGCAAATGTCAAATTGTTAGGAAGCTAATCTAATTAGCTCCAAAATTATAAAGAAATTAAACTTAAAATTGTTAACCCGTACTACATGTTATGTACTAAATGCTTGAAAATTAAGTTATATTTGAAATGTACCCTGATGGCTCTTTAGTACCTAGTATCTTACATGTTTTATAGGGGGAAAAAAGTATAATTTATAGGTGCCATTTTATTTCCACCATAACTTTAGTCAATGACATTTAATTGTAATTAAAATATTACAAAAGAGGAGGGCTAACTAACTGACTAACCAAATATCAACATTTCTAGACATTGCCAATATTTTTGAAAAAAGAATGTGTGTGTGTGCCGCGAGCAGATCAAAACCTGTTATATATAATTATCATTATTGCACATGATGCCTGTTTTAAACAGCATCCCACTAAATTATACAGTGACCCTTTTTTAAATACATAATGAATGAATCCACATTGATGCTGTGGTCCATACAGAAAAATATCAATTATTTTTTCACAAGGATTGTCACAGGCGATTTAATGAATCACTGATGGAAAATAATTAGTATTTTAATCGGAATCTGACTTGTTAACAGAATATTTGATTCATTACCCATTAACAGGTTTATCATATCGCCACATTTACCCTCAACCAGAAGTGTGTGTGTGTGTGTGTGTGTGTTCTCCTTGAGACGCCAGCTGCTGAGGATCAGGCAAAAACGTGCCAACTGATAACAGCCACATCACACATCACACACATGTCCGACACACACAGCCCCCTCTTTAACCACCACACACACCGTAAACCCCCAAAACCTCCTGTTTATCCTGTTTACAGAACCCCGCTTCAAATTACCACCATCAACACACACACACACACACACACACACACACACACACACACACACACACACACACAATGTTAGTTGTTTTAAAATCTAGACTCATAAGACTGTAAATCTCTCACGGCTCGACCGTAAGTAGAAGAGTTTGTCATAGTTTGAACCCTTTTTATGATCCGGCTGATACATTTGGTGCTCTTGAGAATTCCTCCACGCGTTGATTAATGTGTGTTTACGTGGCGCGTTGTGAGCCCCTCGTGCAGCCCCGGCTGTGATTGTGACCTACTGTTTATTTTAGCCCAGAGGAGGGAAACCTTTCATCTGCCCTGCCACCATAAAATAAAACTGTGCTCCAGACTCAAACTGCTGGACAAACACAATAAACTCACGGCCGCAAAGCAATCCGCACACAGAGATCCCGACAGGAAAGTCGGGATCTGCCGTTGCATGGGAGATTACCCAAAAGATTAGTCTGTGTTTATTGGGTTTCATTTCTACATGGAGGGGCATTAAATAACATTGGGTCTGTGCGGGTTCGGTTTAAGTGCTATGACCCACCTGCCGATGAAAGGTGATTCTTGATTCCTGAGGTGGACATAATGTGCCGATAACACAAGTGTATATTATTTCAGAAAGGTTTTAACTTTAATGTACTTCTATTCTTTTGTGCAATTCCACTACAGAAGACCAATAGAATGCAGGAAAGGAGCTTTTCTTCTTTCATTGAAAACCCCGTCAGTTGTTTATCAACCACATCCTGATACGTCCTGTTGTGATCAAGGTTTTGCTTTACAAGAGACGTCGCGTTTATAGTATAAATGAAAACCTTTATTGCACCTCATATAACCTTTATTTGGCGCAATTACTCAATTCGAATAGGAAGCCGCTGCACGTGTGGAACTGATGCGGACCATCCCTCACAGCACGTACCCGTCTGCTCTCCATCGCGTCCCTCATCGAGGCGGCCATTTGTGAGAGCTCGTCTATCAGGACTGGTCCAGAACAAAGAACTGGCAGCCTGTAACTCTACACGGGGACATGAAACGCTGACCTTTGACCCCACGTGTGATACAAGTGGCAGTGTTGTCCCACAGGTCAGCGGTAAACGTGCCAAACACATTCCCGGCCGCCATTGCTGCCGCGCTCCTGCGACGTGTTAGCGCTGGAGCGACTAAAACACTTGTGACATTTGTTTTTGTGTCTCAGTAAATACAACTCTGAAAGCTGTGATGATTAGACTGACAAGGTTTTTGCTGGTTGGGGAGTTTAAGGGTTATCTGAGATAACTTGTAAATGTTAGTGTTTGCATGAAACATTAAACGTTAAACATCTCGTCATAGAACGTCGGATCCAAGGAGGAAATCCAAACATTTCACGTCGAGGGTGTGCAGCACAGAGGATTAGCTTCTTTGTGAAGCACAGCGTTTTAATGAGATCAATCCTTTCAAGCGCACATCGGTCTCCCAGGCGGCATTGAGAAACTGGCAATGTGGTCCGAGGCTGAAGTGCAATCTTTTTTATACTTTATAATAATGGGTTGAGTAGCATTGTGTGAAAAATAGGATTTTAACAAACCGAACGTCCTGGTCACTCTGTTTTTTTTTTACGTTTTGTCCTCTTATGCTCAAAAAACTGATCGCAATTTTGGTACCAAATGAAATTGCTCATTTTGACGTCGTTGCCTATTTTTTGAAAAGCCAGGATTCAAGAGGACAAACTCTTCAATGTCTTCGCTCTTGACAAATCGCATTGCACACTGGACGCTTTATGATGGCCAATTCCATAATATCCTCAATCATTCATGTGCCACTTGGGCCACAAAACAATAAAACATCGAATGTGTAAAAAGTAAATTCCCCAAATGAATTTAACGTTTGTCTCCTCATAGCTCAGTTTCATCTCCCTGCTGTTAACTATATTGCTCCGCGCTCTGGCTAACAGTAAACACCCTCTCAGGTTTACGGCGTGCAGCAGCCCGGCACGCCGCCATGGTGCGGGCCTGTAAACTGCAGGGGACGAGGAGGAGTGTATGAATTGACAGGCAGTGTTTAGCGGTGAATGGTTGTATTACTGTTGCCAGTGGTTGGGGGGCTGCAGAGGAGGGTGGGCGGGTCGAATCACACCCGAGAGCTCTGACTGGGAAGGCGTCAAGTTCTGGCATGAAGACCTGTTTCAGTTTACCAGCTGCAGGATTCAATGAAGCAGAAAGGACGGGAAAGGAGGCTAAAACCTGTGTAATTGTCAACATGTCTTTAGTCACACACATGCACAGACAAGCACACACATGCTCTAACTAACGGCACAGAAACATCTACACACATCTGTGTCCCTTTACATTGTTGCTCACCGGATGTGTCCATTTTTCCAGATGGAGGTTGAAGTTCTCCGTCAGTGAGAAAAAGTGCTTCAGAAACATGTGGGAACTTCTGAGTCCCTGAAGGCATCGATTCACCTCCCACCTGTTATAACACCCGCGCTGTCTTCGCTGCATGTTTGTCACGTCTCCAGCAGATGTCGTCTAAAGTCACATAGTCACGCGATAACATGGGAGGGATCAAATAAACACTTTTGTTAATAACAATATATGTAGTTTTACCACCAACACTCACTGCCTTCATCCATTACTCCTTGTGTGTTTAGCTTAACATTTGAGTGAGCGTGTTTGTTTGTCTGCAAGCTAAATATGGACATGTATTTACTCTAATATTGAACTATTCTTTTAATGACATCACTTTAGCTTTTGCAGTTGAGTGATTACGAAAATACGCAATTTTGGGGGTTAATATCCTGCGTCAGCAGGAATGATTTTTTAATGTTAGAATATTTCACTTTCGCAGTCATCATATAAACATTGCAAAATCTATTCTCTATTTATTATTTATTTATTTATTAAGTTTTCATAATGGAAATGTAGAATGAGTCATGATGCCGTGTAGATTCACAGAGGGGGAAAGATCCAAATGCAGTTTGCTTGTGTGAATTAAAACCATCTAGAGATGATGGTTTGATTGACTTGACGCTGCCAACCTCATATCTGGTCAGATACACAGGTTTCCAAAAGATTTCTTACAGTATAAAAGAATATTAAACCGTCATATACAGTTGAATAGATCATGGGAAGCTTTGGAGAATTCAATCCAGATTTGTTTCTCATTTTCATTCGTTATTTAACAAACATCACAGAAGCTTTGTCTCCAAATATCCGCTTGTTTTACATAAACCTGGCCTGGTGACTCACATTTCCACACGACTCTCCCTTTTATTCAACATGTTTCTCCATTTAATGATACAGATTCGGCAGAGTCTAAACAGCCCTTTAATCGTGCCATTAAAGAGGAGACAGTGAAACTGACATGAAGTCCAGAGGAGCCCAATAAAGACATGAACCAGGCGTCATGGATATGAGGCGAGACGGATGACATAAGAAAGCTGAAGTATACAACAATATTAGTGTAACAGCAGGGAGCTCTGGCTCTGGAAAGTAAGCACTGCCTGTGTGTGTGTGTGTGTGTGTGTGTGTGTGTGTGTGTGTGTGTGTGGGCCTGTTTTACCGGCCTTGTGGGGACACATACCTGTTGAAAGAGAGACATTGTGGGGACTTGCCCTCCTTGTGGGGACAAAATGCACGTCTCCATAATATACATCAGTCCATTTTAGGTTGTGGACCTAACGTGTAATACAAGAGCACAGGTTATGGTTTAGGCCTAAAGTTCAAAAAGGCTCAATAAGTCTCTTAGAAATGATTTAATGTCAATTCAACATCCTCAGAAAATGACATTAACACATCGGTGTGTGTGTGTGTGTGTGTGTAGAGTGCATGTGCCTGTGTGTTTGACAGGTGGCAAGAAGCGGCACAAGAATTAGGAGAAATTAGTAAAAAGAAAGAGAAAGGGGGGTGAAGGGGTGGGGGGGGCAGAATTCCCCTCAGACTTTCTCCTTGATTCCCAGCCAGCAGATTTACAATCGAGGAAGTCTCCATGCTGAACTTACTGCTGCTCCCTCCTTGTCCTCCCCTCCTCTCATGCTGGGACCCTGCCCCCTCCCTCCTGAGAAAATGGGACTCCCTTCTCCCTCCCTCACTCTCTCTCTCTCCCATCTGAAGACTTAACACAGTGCAGAGCAGAGCTGGCAGTCACAGTTGCGCCCTGGATTGTAGCAGAGAGCGAGCATCCCTCTCAGCCTGTTTGCCCCCCACCATGGATGTCAAGCTGCTGGCGCTGATGGCCCTGATGGCCGTAGCCACACATGTACCGACCTCCAACGGTGAGTCCGGCAGAGGGACGGGAGCCTGTGGGCCGGGTTTGTAGTGCTGCAGAGACGTTGCTGGTTTTGGTCACGTTGGAGGGTTTTTAACTGAGTGTTGGTCGATAAAACGTTGCTCTGTTTTGTGTCTCCACATTGAGGCATTTGGCATTCGGATTATTTCAATCTTGGCTGTGTGTGAAGTAACGTTCCTGGAATCTCAATTTAGATTCTCTTTGACTTCATGTTTGAACTTCTTGTTCATTCATTAAAAGCTTAACTTGAGACGATATCAGCACGTCTTTTGATTGGTTTGATGGTTGATGAGTTTCATTCGTTGCAGGAATAGATTGTTGCACTCATGGGTGTCTAAGTCAAGCATTTTGTGACCCTGCTGTAATTTTGTTTTATAACATCTGAAGGTTCCAAAGAGCAGACTTTTATTCTAAATCGATCCATCACTCATTCATTTATTGAATAAATAATTATATGATGAATATCTGAAACAATTATACAATGAATCAATAACATTTTAACAGAAAAACAATCTGCGACTAGTTTGATGTTTGATTGATTGATTGATTGTGTAATAATTCTTGAAAGGAGAAGAAACGAGAACAGACTCATTTTGCTTTTTTTGTTGTTTTTATCCGCAACAAGTATGTGGCTCTTTGGAAAAAAACTTGACGATGACAAATAGCAGTTCTGGGAATTTCTGAATTATTTCTGGCAAAATGATTAATTGAGAAAACAACCAGCAAGTTAATAACTGATGACAGTAATTAGTTAGTTATTTAAATACTTTAATTGCAAAACTTGATTGATAGTACATCATTGTAAATACATCATATTGATTGTAATTAGCAATCTACATTATCAGGAATCACGAATCGGGAACATTTATTGCCAAAGTATGTTAGACATTCAAGGAATTTGACATGGCGGGTGGTGCAACGAGACAATGAGACATTGCACAAGACAAATCACACATCTACAATCTCACATCTCTTTTCCTAAATGTATTATTTACATGATGCATCTGGTTACAAATTTCCCAGGGATGTTATCCGTCAGTATTCTGGACTAAATGACTTTGGGTACCACAGGAGGGGAGAGTAGTTTCCACCGAGACCTCACATTAATCTCCCGCATGTTACCCTTGGTAGGAGACAACCAGGGTGTTGAAGCGTCTGGCCTGCGTTATGCTAAGCTTGTTGTTTCAGCGCCGGTAAGACCCCCCAATTGCATATTAAAGAGTTAGGTATAAATGTGTGTATTTGTCTTTTCCCTTTGCTTTCTTTTAATTAGTTTATAATCAGGGATAAACAATGCGGCGGTGATAGCAGTGGATGCTCGCTTCTGGGCCCGTTGCTGCGTGCTGCATAATGACCCCTTAGTTTGCATGAGAAAAGACCCTACAAGAGTGTGAATCATTAGGCTGATATTAGTGAGGATTTAGCCATTTGTGGCAGGACGTTCGGTGTTTCATTACAAACATGCATATCAATGGGAATATGTTTAACCCCGGAACAAAGGTCGGTTAGCAACACGACTCACTTGACTTAATTTATTGGAGTTTGGAATTTACTGATTAACATATTTCTGTTGTTGTACACACTCCGTAGCCTCAGTGAACCATTTCCCCCCCGTTTCATGACCCCCTAGAGATTCCTCTAATATAAACTTCTATTCCACTTTGGTTTCCCACCCGCTTTTCAATTTCGCAACGGTCATCCTTAAAAAAAATGCAAGTTAAGTTCACTACAATTGGTTGCTTAGTGCATCTAGTTGGAGTTATTCGTGTGCATCTGGGGTCCTCCGGGCCCCAAAAGAGGCCCGCGGGTGATGGTTGTAATCATTTTAAGAATGTACTTGGGGAGACTTTCTCAAAGGCTGTTGATGCCGTCGGAGCCGCAGAGTGCTCTTTCATAAAAGGGGCAAATATTGGAAAGTGAATGAGAAGGACCCTTCTCCATCAGAGAGGCGACTCTCAATGCTCTCGGAGTGACAAGCTGAAATTCTGCGTGTGCGTTTGAGTGTGTGACGGCTCCGAAAGGTCTAATCTCTTTTTAATGAAAATGTTGTTCAGTGCAATTGCAGGAAGTATATGATATATATATATATAGATAAATATATAAACGTATATGCTCCCTAGTCCTGTTACAGTAGATAAAAGTGAAGAGAAGTAGAAGCTACTGTGTTATCATCTCTTATATTCATTTTAATCAATTTAAGTTAAGGAAATTTGTAAGTTCTTGACAGAGAAACAACATAAAACATTTACTTCATCTTCTGAACCGCTTAATTATCAACCATTGATGTCATGAGTTTGGGAAATTTGGGAAATGCCATAATGAGCAAAAAGGTGTTGAATATTATCAAAAACTTTTAAATAACCCAAATAGTTTGCTGAAGTATTTTACTGATGTATTACACAGTGTTAACATGCATGTTTAATGCAGCATGTGTGTTTGAGTGTGTGTGTGTGCGTATTAGCCACATAAATCTGTTCAATCAATTAACTGCAGTTAAAAGTGAATCAAAATATATTTGATGAAAACTGCAGTTTTGTTCTGTTCAATGTAGTATTAAGTGTGCTGAACGTTTCCTTTCCATTTTGTCCACTTTTTTAATTGCACTTTTTTAATTTTCCGTCATGTAGTTTGACCTCTTTTTGTTTTTGCAGCAAAGCCCATCAGTCTGGTGGAGCGGTGCTGGTGTCGTTCCACCCTCAACACGGTTCCTCAGAGGTCCATCAAGGAACTCAAGTTCCTACACACACCAAACTGTCCCTTTCAAGTCATGTAAGTCAATGCTTGAAAAAAATGTATTTCCTGATGTGTGATTTTATTTGATATCTCTGCTGTGCCTGTGTGAGTGCGAGAGATCTCCCCCTGCAGACGACTTTATGCTGATATGAATAGAAAATGTTCATTTAATAGGAGTAGGGGGCAGGAAATGTGCAAAATGATGACATGAGAGCTTAAGCTTTACATACGTATTTACATGTTTGCTACAGAAATACTTCACACAGAAGCATAATTAAGGTTAATTAATATATTATTAAATGTTTTACAAAAAAAACATCAGGAATCAAATATTTTTTTTAAAAGGCGACACACGCAGGCATAATCTATGCACGCACATGTCATTCAACAGAACATTTGAGTATCAAGTATCAAGCATCAAAGCATTCAAAATGCAGTGAAATTAGAGAGTTAAAAAGATGCTGTTAATACAACATCATTTCACCTTTTATGCTGAGTTTACTCCATTTACTTTCTATTTTATTTTTGATAAATACACCATTTTAAAGTCCGATATGAGCCTCTTGTTTCCTTCATCCTCTACTTTTAAAATGTATTTTAAATTTCCTTTACTCTTTACCAGTACGTTTAAACACGTTCAACTACAAATAAATAGGTGAATACAGTGCCTACATGGTGAGAGTGGATGTGTGAGTGTACAGTTATTAATATTCTGCTATTCTTTTGCTAATGAGAGAGCCGAGTTTAAAGAAACATGATCCGCCCAGAAAGAAGAAAGCAGTAATGGCTTGAGCTTAAGTGAGACATTTATGTTTAGCAAAGGAAGCAATATCTAAGGGTCAAAGCGATTACCTTTGTGTTTCTGCTGACCCCGTGTCCCTTGTCGACGTTTTTTTAAAAACATATTTCTTTTTTTTTTTCCCGCTTCAACTTGCGCACCACGCTGTAGTGTCACCAGCCTGCAACACATTAAGTAAAAGGGCCTCATTCATCTGTTCGCTATAGAAAAACGGGGCGGCAGAAGCCTCACGGCCAAAAGGCCGAGGGGCTTCTGCCAGAATGGGAGGCGGGCTAATGACCGTTAGAAAGGCTTGAGCGGATGGCAAAAGGTCAAAGAGGACACGCAGCGCTTCAGCCGGGACACAAACTCTCTGTAACCTCCCTGCAGAAAACTGCCAGCGGAGTCAAGAAGTCATTCAGACGTGGAGCTCGCAGAGTTGCTCTGATATCTCTATTGAGGCAGATGAAAGAAAGCCAGTAACATTATACCACGCTGCCCCCCTGCCCCCCGACCCCACCCCTCCGCCCCGTGTCCCACCGTGCGCCCTCATCCTACCCCCTTCCACCTCTCCACCCGTCCCAGCATGCTGTTGGTATTAACTTGCTGTGATGTAATTACTACCTGCTGCTTGTGGAACTCAAATTCCAGCCAAGTCAATTAGGGTTTAGGCCCTCGGTCGGTCGTGCAGACAAGCAGACAGATAAGCAGGATGAAGGGAGACACATCAAAACAGCAGCGAGCTGAGCGGACCAGCCGGGCCTCCCCTAATAAAATAAAAGAGGAAGGGAGAACGGGACACCCCCCGAAAGAAAAAGCAAACACAGATCCCGTTACTTTGCCGTCAGGTCGAGGGATTTGCGGCCGATCTACTCTTTTAAGTCCGCGGGCCATTTGCTGGCTCGTGTGCATCTAAATGAGGCGAGGAATAGGGGAGGTGGCGTATTAAAGGGGTGGCAAGGGACTGTGGAGGAGTGTGTGTGTGTGGGGGGGCTGAAATTGAATCAGAGAGAAGTGGCGAGGGCAGCGAGGAGGCACAGAGGAATGCGTTTAATTTGCAGAGCCGTGTGATAGAGAGACGGAGGCAGCAGGAGGAGGGACAGTAAGGCGAGACACCTCCTGAGTTGTTAACTCTCATACACGACCTTTTGCCATCGAGGTGTGAGATCCACATGTTTGAAGAGGGGGAGGGGTAAGTGGGAGGAAGGGGGGGGGGACTCCACTTTGCCCCAACAGATCTGACACTCACCCAGCAGCAGCATCTGATAACAGAACAAATCCTCTCCTAAATATTTGGCTCAGCTGTCCATTAACAGGTCATCGCTCTCTCGAGCGCACAAGTCCTGCTTCAGCCTTATGCTGCAAATTAGACCCTGAAGAGAACGAGGCAACCGACATCGGAGGTGTAAAATCTAGTTTTTGTAGGAGAATTTCTGTTTTCACTTTTTGACAAAAAAGGAAAAGGGAGGACATATTGTTTCTTGAAATACTTGAAAAGTACTTTGTAAAACACCTAATGAATAACATTGTAAGACAAGGCGTGGTTACGGATAGATTACCATGACTTAAATTAAGTACAAACGTCCTTTACACTCATTAAACGCAATTTCTTTCACTTTTCTTAAAGAAATGTGTTCATACCTTGAGATTCAGGATCCCGGTGTGTTTTAAACCAGCCCGTCCGAAACGCTCTCCACTACAAACTGCATTAGAACTACGGCTTCACGCTGTTCAGTGTGCAGGGACAGCTTTCAGGCCACACGGTACTCAGCGGATTGGAAACGAGCTGTGATCTTTCAGGGTGACAGGCCGTCATGTGCAGTAATCCAGCTCTTCAGCTCGGACTTTAGAGCTTAGCTGAGGTGTTTCTGAGCTTATATCTGATTTTATCCTGACATATTGGCCTCATTTTAACATGATAAGCCTTTTACTTGTTGAGCACAAATTTGACCATCAATAGAACAGATATGTCTATTTTATTATGGCCGTAAAATAATCTGGATTCCTTTTTAGTTTAAAAGAGAAAATTCAGGTTAGCTTTAGATTTAGCAGCACTAGTGTCATTTTTTTGACCTTTGGTATTAAGACTGAAAGCTTGTTAGTAGTTAATAATCCTCTGGTTTAAACTTTTAGAACGTTTTATAAAGTCAAGCTTGCATTGAAGTGGAGAAAAAAATACATTATTAATGATTTATGAGCCACACAAAAAATGTTTTTCATAAGATTATTTTGTCTATTTAACGTAAAAAATGTCCCCTCCCACATACAGTCTACCACATCCGGAGTGCTTTTGGCGGTTACTCTTGGCACATTTAATTCACTTTTCCATATTTCCATTTCTTCCCACCATTATCCAAGTGACAGGCTCCATGGCTTTTTAGGAGTTTTTCCCCCCAGAGTCCATTACTCTTCAATCTTGTCAGGTCTTCATGCATTAACTTGCAGAGAGTGGAAATATGGGGCAGAGAGATTCTGTGAGGTGAAAGGCAATTAAGGTACTTCAAACCCTTTGAAGAAGACTGATGTAAGGGTCAAAATTCCTACTTAATATCTGTAACTATATCACATCTACACACAGTACTTCCCGATAAAATCCATGTTACTAACAAATAAACCTCCATAAATTATGTTTGAAATTATCGTGAAAAAAACGTCCCTAATAAACTTGCCCCAAATTGATAGTGTTTTTAGGTTTTTCTACGTATCAAAGTGATTTTGTGTTAAGACGTGATTACAGGAACAGGAACTGCTAATTCGGCGTATTTTTCAGTACACCAATTAGTTTAAATATAGTGGAGCTCAATTTGTAGCCCATGTTATGCTCCCAACGCATTATGACAACGGTTGCTCGTGGTCGTCTCTTTTATTCAACTTCGGTGTCAGACTTTAGGACCACGTCTGAACATGTGGCCTTAAAACAGAACCCAATAGAGTGAAAGGAGCTGCAGTTCTCTTAGAATCTGTGATAATTAAACGTTTTCCTTGAGGTTGCTGTGAGGTCGCGTTACCCGCTGGTTAACCACGCAGCTAATAAGAGAGATAGAATCTCTCTTCTGTCCAACAACACCGGATCTTGGGCTATGGAGGAAGCCCCCAAGTGAAAACTCCAGTGTCGTCTTTGAACCTGATTTATTTCATGTTTGGATGAGCATGAAACGCTTTGCTTCCTCTGTATCTCTGCTCCGAAGCTTCACATGAACAACTGTGTGTAGACATTGAGCAGAAATACTTTCTAATCCCTTCAATTATTTTCCCACAACAGTGCCAAGCTGAAGAGCAACAGGGAGGTTTGCATCAACCCCGAGACCAAGTGGCTGCAGCAGTACTTAAAGAACGCCATTAACAAGTAAGAAAGAAGCCTCATCCGCTCCGTGCAGACACAAGCATCGCTGACAGAGACAGAAATGAAAAACAGCGCTCTCCTCTGTTAAGCTTAGAGCCTATAAAGGAGAAAAAACTATTACAAATGGTCATCTCTCAGTTTGTCGCCGACGTTTTCTCTGAAATCCCTGACATGGTTTCTGTAAGCAGCTAAGTTATTATCTGTGAAATAATTAGCATGAAGAACGAATAGCGATAAATCTGCCACTGGTTTGCCTCCTTGTTTCTAAGCATTGCTCCTGTGACTTAAGAAAGCTGCACAGTAATCAAATCTTCATCCTTTCCGTGTAAGTATTTTTAACAAGGCCTTTTCATTTCTTGGAGACATTTTCCTCATAATTATCATCACTAATTGCACATTAGTTTCAGAGTTGTCTCAGTCGGATTGTTCCGTTGTGGGTTAAAACTATTCATAGTAAAAGATGTCAGCAGCTCATTCAATTTTTAATGAGCCAACTAGTTAAAATGTGTACATTCCTCATAAAAACAAAAAAAATGCTCCCAACATGTCTGGTGGTGATTATCGCCAGGCTGCATGTCTGCTTCTTAAAACACTATAACACTTGAAGCACAATGTGAAAACAAACGATGAAGTAATGAGGATTTATTTTTAACGTGTTGGTGTAGAAAATACAGACAGGGTTCAAATATGAAGTCTTTTAACTGAAAGTAGCATGTGGCACAGCACACGTTGTCGAGAAGCTGTCGCTTCAAGCCTCCACGCAGTCTGAGCTCCTTCAATGAGGTGTTACATGCAGCAAACATTTACAGATTACCAAACCTTCACTTAAAGAATTCAGTCTCGGAACGTGGTGAAATGTGTGAAGTGCGTAACAGTACAGAGAGACTTTATGATTCTCTTTGTTGTCAGCGGCACCTTTTTCCATGCTTCATCGCAGTCACATATACATTTGTTCACCTATCAAATCGGTCAGAGAACACCTGAGGCCCCGACATGTCCCAGATGTGAACAGATGTGCTTTAGCAACCCTGTTTCTGAAAAACGACATCTATGCGCTACGCATTTTTTTAAAGGAATCATCGTTGCTGCCTGGCTTGTGTTCCCGACAGCATGTCTCTAGTCTACTCAGAGCTACGTGCACGTACTGCACGCAAGGGAGGACGTATTATGAAGGGAAAAGTGAATAAAAAACATATGGACGGTTCATTTGTCAATTTATTTAATGTTTTTCAGAAGCTGTCACCTGACATTTGTGAGGCTTTAATGGTCACACAGGACGTCATGTTTAATCATTCCATTTTCAACGATTCTACTGATTCTAACGCTCTGGTCCAGCAAAAGAATAGAAGCAATGGCCGTATTCTCTTTTCAAGCTAACGTACAAGTTATCCATCTGTGTCTCTCTCCAGGGGGAAGAAATCTAGAAGACGCAACACCAAGAAAAACTAAACACAAGGGAGCACGCGTGTGCGTCGTCTGCCAGGGCCCCCCCCCCCCCCCATATGAACCTGTATGCCTCCCTGTCACTGCTATGGAAGTATGTAAACACGCTGTAAGTACCCCGTCCCCCTCTCTGGACCGCTTGCAGAACCAGCACTTCACGCCAAACTGTGCCATGTCGAGCACCGACCCAGATCCTCCCGGTCACACGCGCAGTCACCTCCGACTCCCCCGTGTCAGCACCAAGTGCATTTACACCTGGAGGCGACGGGACGCGTGCCGATGTCAGAGATGGCGTGTGTCCGAGTGCTGGGCACGGGAGAGAAAGTGTGTGTTTGAATGTGCAACATATGAACTAACTCTTAATGTGCGTCAGTATATCATATTTTCTTACTTAACCCAGCCGTAGAGGAGGAATTTGAGCTTTCACTCTGACACAATGCTTTGTGGGTAATGCCATCTTCACGCCATGGTCTCCGACAAGGAATAACAATCGTGATTTTACGTATGCATGTAGGTATCTTCATACGTAAATGTCAATCATTACAGAATTGTTACATTCACAAACATAAGGGCTAAGTTATTTTGACTACTGTTATTTCAACATAGTTCTACCTTTTTTAATGTAGATCTCCTGAGAAGAAAAAAAAAACCTACCCGAAATAGAGGAGTTGAATGAGAAGTTCACACTGATGATAAGCGAAGGTGGCATTACTCCATAACGGAGAGGTCAAAGGGCAGCAACAAAGCCTGTGCAGTGGGTCCCTTCACAGCACTGACCAGTCAGGGTGGCCGTGCTTCAGCAGTGTGGTGCATTTCCTTTGCTTCAGCATCGGGAACCAAACAGAGTGAAGCGACACTCACTGCAGAGCCGCCAGCACTGACCCTGTGGTGCTTTATACTCAGTACAAAGGGTGAGAGCCATTGACATAATTTTACTTCACTGTTTATTATATGCAAAACTCAATACGGGATGTTGTAACAGCTATGTCTTATATGAAATACAATTATGTTTTTTACCAGTCATAAAATATTTGAAGTGCTGTTTTTAAAAGTCTGATATTTAAAATGAAATACAAAGCTGATTTTATGTGAAGGCCATAGTGTCCTGATAAATACTATGAGGAAATGAAACGCTTATCAATGCATCATTTTTTATTATCGAATCTGTAAACAGAAACCAAATATCTAATCAGTAAAACGTGTAACATGAAGAAGCCGGTGAAAGCATTGCTTTCCTATTCATTAATTGTTATGAAAAGTCAGCTCAGGATTGTCATTATTCTTCGTTTGTTCAAGGGACTAAATGTAAATGTATATCAGGACTTCACAGGAATTCAACTGCAGTATGTTCATACCAGCACCTCTCCTTGGTAGGAAGAAAAAGCTAAAACCATCCAACAGATGAATGATAAATGTAACAGTGGGAGTGTTAAGAACGTTTTTGATTAGTCTTTTTATATACATTTGAGCCACTTTATTATCAGATGTGTAATTTTAATTGTAACTATTTTATTTTTATATTGTGCATAATCTTACTAAATGGGTTTTTAATGCAATGTACAGTAGGAAGTAGCTACTAAATGAAGGCCAGCTCACAAAATGTAAGAAACAGTATTAAGCTTCATTTTTAAGATGTCATGCAATGAACATGAAATACTTTTAGACACATATATTTTAACAATGTTGTGGAAAAAGCATCAGGCAATCAAGTCAAATATCAATCCTCTTTTTTGTTTCTGTATCGTTTCCATAGCAACTATTCAGCTGTTACGGTCAACACACTGATTGAAAACAAAAGTCACTGTCATTGTTTCACATGTTGCAGGAAACCACTCGGCCCCCATTGATCACTTGACGTCCTATAGTTTTACAGAGGTTGATGTATCATGTGTAAATAGAGCCACTGAGCCAAAAACGATCCCAGCGACCAACATGTGCTTTTAATCTGGACACTCCCAGCACCCCAGGGGGCTTTCTCTTAAACTCTCACTCAACTGCTGCCATGTCGCAACTTTTTTTGTAATGTAAGTCCTGTTGTTTGTGCTCATTTCCGAGGGGTATTTTTTGTTCTATTTCACACGGTCTGTTTGCTGCTTGCCTGATCACAGGTGATACTCATATCAATTTGCAGCTAATGGTGCAATAATTCTGTACTTGTCTTTAATTTTCCATTAAACTAATAGAAGTTAATGGACACTCGTTTTACACGATTATAATCATTTGTTTAAATCTTGCTGAAAAGTTTTCCAAACGCACTAATATGCAATGATAAAATTCTAATTGTATTAATTCATTCATTACAAAACTGCCATATACTTCCAAAATACTTTGAAGACTTCCATCGAGAAGAATATAATGTTGTTATTTCTGTAAACCTTTCTAACATAAAACATAATAGTTATCTCAATAAAGGGAACACATCTGTTGCATTATGTGAGAACATGTAATAAGTTCATTATATGTGTGATTACATTCAATCGCATTGAACTGTCGCTGATGAGAATATTTAGTGTGACTAAATAATGAACCACAATTACAATCTCCTTTGTGAAAATCAGCATTTCCAGAACATGTTTGTGTGTATCACTTGGACCAAATACAAATTCAGGTTAACATTGATCGTATATTAATAAATTACCCAAAATGCGTGCATGTCTTCTACCTGGGACGCAGAGACAATGTGACATATATTTCTTTTGAGGCAGCTTCTGACAAACATCCTTCATACATGTGCGATGTGTATTGTCACTCTTTATAGACCAAAAGGTGCTATTTTCACTGTGATATTCAAGCTCTTCTTAAATAAAGTATTATGGAATGAAGTCAGTCGCATGTCTGTATTTCATCCATTTAAAACCCTCTTTATTTGTGTAGCTCATTGATTTAAAGCAACATTTACAGGGCAAAAGGTTTAAAAACTCATTTCTGTCTTGTTAGCATGTAACACATCCAGCAGACATGGAGCAACATGAGCATCCCTCCGGCGTGGCGTTTGGGTCCAGTATTCACCTTCCTTTTAGCTGAAACTAAAGAGTTAGATGATGTGAGACTTTTCTTCACCACACACCGGTTTATTTTGGCTCTCAATCAAACCTGTTTTATTCATACAGCCAAATATCACAATATTCACTTGGGATAAGAACTCCACAGAAAACCTTTCAACCAGTGCCACCGTCACCGATGGCACTGGGAGGAACCACTGCCACGTTACAGACAGACGCGCAGCAACCGTCATGTGTACAGAGAGACAGTATAAAGTATAAACAATCCCAATGACAGGACGTATACATATGTTGTGACAATATATGAATGAAATGAATTCAGGATGTAACGCCTGAGGAATGCGACCTCCTCTCTGCATTCTGTTTGGCTCAGTGTTTTTTTTAAGGGGATGTTGCTAAGAGCCGCCCACTCGATGTGGTTAGCCTCTCTCCCTGGAGCTATATTTATACTTCATTAATCCGCAACAGCACAGATAACAAATGCATGTTTTTGTCATCAAAAATAAAACAAGAAACGTCTTTAATGCAAAGACTGTCATGAAGGAATGAGTTCTCATACAACCTGCGTTCCACACAGAACTGAATCACAGGAGAGCAGAGTCGCTGCTGTAGGTTCAATAGTCCAGTTTATACTTAACGGCTCCAACAACCACTGTGAGCCCTGATGAATTAACATTTTCTATCCAGGAACCAAAACATACTCGGCAAATCTTTTTCCCAGGAAAGCGTCGTGTAATGGCAAGTAACATCCCCTTATGATATTCCAACACCTGAGCTTTCAGAAGTGTCCATTCGTGCTGCTTCATCGCAGCAGCAGGGAGCCTGCGAAGCGTTCTAACGCTGCCAGCTCTAATAAAGTGCAACTATGTGGATCGGATTCATTTCATGGCGCAGCTCTTACCTCTGACCTGCGCGTGGACACACACACAGAACATGAGACGTGGTTTTGGACATGGACCAAGCAGTTTAGAGGAGTTGCATATTTGGCCTCTTTGGGCACATTAACAAACGGTACTTGGATTTCTATTCTGTGCTTACTCAGGTGAGACCACACTAAGAGGTATGGAATGTTTATCAGTATCTATCAGTATTAGTTTATCATCAGAGAGCAATTCAGAGGTTTTTACCAGAGCGAAGCCTGAGGTCAGTGTGTGAAATGTTCTTATATAATAAATAATAAAACTAGATAAAATACAACAAGCCTGTTGTGACCACTAAACCTCCATTGGTAGTTTGAGTCAGAATGAGACGTGCACTTTCCACTGGAGAACGTTATATGGATAAATGAGGAAGTGTGTTTAAGTGTTCTGCCACGGCGCAGTTATTACCACACGGTGTAACAGGTCAAATTGTGTGTGTACTTTTAGTCAGCACGTTGAGGACAAAAACTGATGCAGGATCTCTTTTACTGATCGGTTATACAATGGATCATTTTTAGTCATTGATCTTTCATTAAGATCTAAATGAATGGTATCGATCTTGTCGAAGCTCGATTGTTTCAATTTTTCTTTTTTTAATAAAATCCCCTCTCTAAGGTTCGACATTGTACTGGAACACAATGTCGTGATGGACTGAGAGGCTTATGACTCCGTTTGCGATCGTTGTTCCAGACCGACTGTGCACCTGCACCCAACGTAATGGTCAACTAAACGGCCAATATGCTGCACCAAGTAGTGAAATACAGACCACGCGAGAACAACGCGGCTTCACCCGGCACAAAGCAGCCTTCACCTCAAATCAGCTGAGACAGAGAGCATAACCAGGTTGGACAACTAATTGGCCGGCTGATTTGGTCTTGGAGGTTGTGGGTAATCCAGTGTGATTTGAGGCTCTCAACCATACATCTTTGAACAACTTAATACCAGCCGGCTGAATGGAAGTTAATGGGAAACACGTTGGCTGAACATGTGGCAAAACCACACAGGGACGTGTGTGTCGGTGGGTGTGTGCTTGTTACAATATCTTTGTGAGGGCCGTGTAATTGTAAGACCTTCAGAGTGGGGACATTTGTAGAAAGTGGGGACACATCTTCAAAGACATGTTTGGGAGTTCTTAATTGACACGGGGCTTCAGAATGATTCATGTCAATGGGTGAGAGAGTACAAGGTTGCATGTGGTTTGCTCGCAGTATGTCATTTCTCAGGTTTTCTGAAAGAAATTCACAGAATAAAGAGAAAGCACAGGGAAGGAGATACTAACACGATGCTTCCTGTTCAGGGTGTGTGAACATGCACTCGAGGCTGAAAGTTCAAAAGAACACACACAGACACACAAACGCTATAAAAAGACCCGTGGCATACAGGAACGCGTGGTCCTATATATCCTGCATAGATGCTTCATGCTGTAAAGCAAGATTACGCGTGATGTGAACATGCAAATTCCTGTTGATGTGCAAATTTAAAAGTGCCATGCCGAGCACAACAGCAAAAGCATGAGGAGGATTGAACTGTGTATTTGCTTTTTCAACACAAACTGCAATAATTAGCATGCCGCCTACCTAGAACTCTTAGAACAAATGACTTCCAAAGCCAAGGGGCACGTCTTTAGATGTTTTATGGGGTAACAGGTTATGCTGGGACTGAAACATCCAGTGGGTGAGAGACAGATATACAGCTGTAGGTGCAGACTGGTAATACACTCAAGTATATGAAGTCATAATAAAAAGGCATAACCCACCTCATCCAGCAGTTGACCGCGCCGTGATTCCTTCAGCAACATGTGTTTAGATCCCGAATGACTGTGTGGTCATTCTGAACACACCATCAACAATCTGCTCCACAAAAAGACAAACGAGTTTGGAGCTGCCTGCAGGGATCGGCCTTTATAAATGAAACGGAGCCGAGGACAATGCCGTCGACGAGGGACGGAAACAAAGATAAAACAGTTTGTATTTCCACCCGTTGAAAAACACATATCCCACAAGACGCTTCTTTATCAAACCGACAGCTGCTAGCGTGGTAAGACCAGGCAAAGGGAGGGGTGGAATGTGTTTAAATCCATCATGGCCGAGCGTTGGACGTGTCCCTAACCCTGCAGCAAAGACAGAGGTCACGGGTAACGCTGTTGGAAACAGCTTGATCACTGTTTCCATACAAACGCATCCCTTATGTTTGCCCGAGAGACGAGGCAGAGCTAAACATGCAAAAGAGGCAGAGAAAGGGAGGCAAATATCATCATTTATTGGTAATGAATCCTACTTGTTCCGCAGCAAAGAAAAGAATGCAATACATCTTTTTATTCGTTCGCATTTGCTTTCAAAGAAAAAAAAAAGAGGGGAAATGTCATCATTCACGGCTCATTTTGGAAGAAGTCACAAACAAAAGGCTTTCTATGATCCCCATTTAATGAGTCATTCCGCTGTGATGCAGGAGCAAGCAGATTGTGTCCTGGTTGCCTGGTTATCTGACTCCTCTACAGGCATCATTAGCTTGTTGGAGAGTTGACTTCCTGGCTATTTCCTTTTGTGAGGAAGGCGTTGCCTGCTAAACCCCTCTGACCGACCTGCAGAAGGGAGCGCGCTCTTTCACAGTTTGATCACCAGCTGAAATGCTCCTAAAGCCGTCTTGATAGTTTCACGTGAGAAAATGATTAGATATGCAATGCTTTAATAAAATTGCTAGTATTGCAAAAATGAGGTTAATGATAAAAAATAAAACTAGCCAACTGTGGAGAAAATATTATAAAAAATATATTTTTTTAGCTGCATCTCAATCAACAGCTTAAAAGGAATTTGCGCAATAAGACATCGCATTGTAATAATTGTAATAATAAAGTTGACATATAAGTTATAGCACTTTAACACAGACCTATTTTGATAAAGTTAATCTGTTTTGCAGGACTGTTACTTTTATTTGTTTTTAACATCAGAATACTACTATTTTTTACAAATCATTTTTTTTAAATATGTGAAACAACCTGCGTGTGTGATTATATTACTTTTCTTCAGTATTGTTTCAATAATTGACTTTGTCAATGAATTGCTTTTTCATCTCAATTAGTAATAATGAACATACTGACCTTATTTTCATTGTAATATGACTTTTGAAACGTGTGCTCTTACATTAAATGATAACTTTTCCACTGTTCTAGGGATTAATACCGAGTATTAGTATGTGACAGAAGCTTGAATGTAAGACCAAACCTGTTATGACGTCTTGTACAGCAGAACTCCACATCGTAACCATTTAAGAGGCAGCCCTTTGAAATCAACATTTCTCTGAAGTCTCATGAGCCATGCAGAGCAGAGTTCAGGCATGTCCGCCAACATTTCTCTGAAGCACATCGTAATTTGCTCCCCAGTCTGAGACAACATCTATTACAGGCGCTGCTGTCGCTCAACCTCCTCATTGTTTACCATTATTCTCGGGGTATTATTGTTTTAACTCTCTACTGTGTCATCTATCGAATCTTTTTCACACGTCATCAACCCTTTCAGGTGACGGAGGAGAGCGTGTGAATTTTCTCCACAGCGCCGAAGGAATCCTTTCATCACAGAGCGGCTGTTGGAGAGCCAACATAACAAGGGCCGTGCTACTGAAACATTTCCCTTTGCAACAGCAGGAAATAATAAAAAGGACTTTTTCTGTGTCTACAGAACAACCAGCACCATATTCAAACAAGTAAAACATTTTATTTATTCAAAGAAAATGTATATTTTAATACATTAATACCAATTTGTAGTTCGGTCTTAGATCCGATTAACTGGCAATGAAAAATTAATGAGAACGTTACCAAATGTGTCCGTGCACTTTGAAGACGGTACTAACAAGCCGAGCCCTCCTATGCAAGAAGTTCCTACGGCTTTGGTCCAAAAGTAAAACACAAACAAAATCCCAACACATATATTTCCTCTCAGTGTG